GAATGCATTGCAGTGTGCTGCTGGAAGAGGATGGTGGTGGTTTCCAGTGAGTGAATATCGTGGTTGCATAATTTAGGCAGGAGTACATCCAAGAATTCTTATTCTGGTGTTTTTTGGTTTTTTTGTTTTGTTTTGTTTTTTAAATAATATTCTTTTTTCATGGGTGTGAAGCCACACAGAAGCCCATTTGGGCAAAGGCTGTGTAGTAGGAGTGAAAGTTTAGAATGGATCTAAGTGAGGTAAGGCTAGAAGAGACTCTATTATCATACTCCATGTGATGCACTGACAAGGCTGTGTATTTAAATGTAGTCTAGTATATGATTGTCCTGGTGCTTGCAGGCTTTAAATCCTTACAGATTTTATTTCTGTGTGTATGTGTAGAACTGAATGCTTGCTCTGGGTAGTTTCTGAACACACTCTGGTATGTGTTTTGTTGCTCAGGCCAAGCTATTTTTCATTAGTGCATTGTAATTACTGGTGGACTCAGAAAAACAAGGGAGAGGAGCATTCTTCTGTGCTTGTGCTTGTTCTTCTTCAAGCCAGTGGCATAACCTCTGCTTGAGCAGCTACAGATGGTGCCTCTCTATAGTTTAATTCTACAAATAGCTGTGCCAGGTGAAGACTTTCTGCCCACAGGTCTGAAAATGAAAGAACATATTTGGGTGCTGCCTAATCCAGGAAAGTTCCCTAGTCCTAGCCTGACGTGCTTTACTTGTATCTATTCAGAAAGTTTGCATATTCCTTTCTAAAGTCCTAATATCCAGCTGGCCAGCTGGATGGTGCTATCATCTTTAGCTGGAATAGTTAAACCTGGTAGGAGGCCTGAAAAATTAAAAATATATCAGAACTAAAGAAGGAGCAAAGTTTACAAGAGAATTAGAACAGTGTGACCTTCCCTGCTGATAACAGAGACTTCACATGGCAACATGGCATGAATCATCCTGGAGGGTACGTGAAAAAAACTGGATGCACACATATGAACTTTGCATTCAATGTGTACAAGAAAAATGCCCTGCTATGGCAGTTGGTTGCACAGAAAAAGAATATTGAAGCAATATGAAGTTTATGGCATTACAATTAAATAAGGAATTAAAAAACCACTAATCTTGCAACAATAATATCAGCATTTCCCTCTTGAGCAACTGCTGTTTTTCAGGCTATTTTGTTTCAAAATACATCGTATATTTAACTTCCTATTAGATCTAAGAGTCATACTATATGTGCCAAGCATACAGAAGAGAGCTTCTATTCAAACTTTTTAATTATTTTATCTTTACCTTCTTGTCTTGTAATTTTCAGTCTTGGAACATTTGTTAGTTTGGGGTTTTTAACATTAACTTCCTTTATGTAAAAAAAAAAAAAAAAAAACTTTTAGAACTTTTTTTTTGGTGTACAAGTAGTCCCTGTTTGAAATCTGTGCAATTCACACCTCACTAAATCCAGCAGGGCACTAATGCAGCTGTTCAGAAATTTTGGGTTTGTGAGGCTTTTTCAAAGTAATGTGACTCTGATGAAGAAACATTTTATTATGTGTTATATTATTCTTCATATTTTGTGGCTAGCCTTGGAAATGGCAAAGCTGACTTTCAGTTTATCTTTTAATACTTGTATTCATACCTGCATTTCCTGTTATAAAAGCAGCAGTGACTCTGAGCTCTAAACTTACAACACATAAATCAGATTTGCACCAAAACATCAGGAGGTACACAGGAGAAGGGACAAAGATAATCTCTATAGTTTAATGTATGGGTAGAGGCAATTGGAAGATTACACTGACTGGACCAGTATTTTCAAGCTTCAACTGTTTTTGCTTTGGCCCTATCTAAAAAATAGTATCTATGAATTTTTGTTTGTTTTTGCTTTAAAAGGAAAGTATATTTTGCATTCCTCTATAATAACTTGCATGCAGCTGAGCAAATTCTGCCCAGATTTATATGTGCAAGACTCAAACTCTGTGTCTGAAGGAAAATAAGCACTGAAATTTTACCTCCACTGTAGAATTGAGGATCTGAGACTGAAATACAGGTGCATGATCAAAGTGGCCCTAGCAAGAAACATTTTAAAAAATACCTTCCCAAGCAACAAGTAGAAAATACTGCACTTGCACTTTACAATGGGCAAAGAGTATCTCAGGAATATCTCAAGATTACCTTGTACTTGGGTACCTCAAGGAAAGGGGTGAGCCTTTCTAGAGTCTACAAGTCACTAATGTTTATCTTTGTATTTTTTTTGTTTGTTTTTAATGTGTCTGCTTTTGAAATCTTCTGGCTTTATTTGTTCAGTGTTTTGAGTGGGCATTCAGTCTCATGGCCTCCACTCTTGGATTCTTTCCCTGCCTTGCCCTGAGTCTGGAATTAAGTGGTGTTTATGCACAAGGGTGCTGGCAGTGGGAGTGTGGAAGTTGTGTTTGAAGTTTTATCTGAAGCAGATCTTCTCTGCATTGCTGGGTACCCCACTGGGGTGCAATTAAAGTCATCCATCCTGCTGTCTAAAGGCAGAGAGAAAGGATGGAGGAATTCTGACTCCATTCAAAGTTCATTCATGCTAGTTAACTGTGGCTTCTGTCAAGATTTCCTCCCTTCACTCTTCAAGCAGAAAGTGGAAGAATGGGATACTAGTGTATGCCCAGGACTTCTTCTGCTGTGTAGGTAGGGGATGCTAGTGGTAACACTAGACATGGACCTAAGAACTGAATAGAAATTCCTAGCTACCTGCTTGAGATGTTCCCAAAAGTTCTTGTGATTTAAACTACATCATGGGTATTTCCACCAGAGCATCAGTTTAGCCCATGACAATGTAAGGGGGTAGGGATGATGCTTTTCCATTCAACACAAAGCTTGACAGAGTAGTATTTGAAGAACTTTAGCTGTCAGCAATATATAACAGCAAAGAACAGTCTGACAGTTATAGCTGAGTTTTTTCAAAGTGACTTTTGGATTTAGGTTTTGGGACCTTTGTCTGCCATGCCTCAGCCTGATTATTCTGTGTACTGAGTGTCTAAAATTCCTTCTGATGGCAATGGGTAGTGTAAAAGGTTTTACAGCTCCCAGTATTAAAGCTCAAAAAATCTTGTACTAGCCAGCACAAATGAGGGGGCAAAAATAAAATTTTTCATTGTTTATCAGGTAATTTTTTATCTGAGATCTGATTCAACTAGGTGAAGGACCAGAATCCAGCAGGTAATTGAGGGTGTGTTTCCATGCTGGAGCTCAGCCTGTCAGATACTTTTTTCCCCCTCTTAATTTGTAGGTCTTCATCTGTAGATATCAAAGTGCTTTAAAGCACAGTGTTAAGTATTGTTATCGCTGTTTTTTAAAGCTCAGGGATATGCAGCTGTGGTAGAGTGACAAGCCAGACTTCACACAGGACAATAGCTCAACAGAGGAAAATGGCTAACCATCATGGGTCTTTGCTCAGTCCTTCATCAGACCCCTCTCCAGTGAACACTGTTTTTTTGTAAAACTTCTTGACTCAATTCTACCAGCTTAGACACAAAGGACACTGACACTAGGTGAATTAAGCATGCAGTAGGATTTTGCCAAAATAGAGGAAAGTACTGTATCTTCCTATATAATTAATAGCTGAAATTGAATCAGACCTTGGCTCTGATGGGGTGGGTCCTTGCCTTGATTTGGGATAGCTGCTCCTGTTGAACTTTCTTTACTCCAGTAACAGCAGCAGCTGCAGTGCAGTGTAGGCATGCCCAAACTAGCTTAAATAGCTCAGGTACTGCTAGCCACTGAGCCAAAGAACCATGGAGTTCAGCATGGGCTTGGTGCCTGGGGATTTTATCCTGCTCTTTGAGTTTAGCATTTCTTTGCCATCTCAGCTCAAGCAAGCCTTGCAATATGTTAAAAAGAAGGCTGGTGGGTCTGGTACAATGTCTGCACTAGTACTTTTTCTGGCAGGAGTGTGTGTGGTGCTAGGGTTGATTGTAGAAGATGTTGCTAAAGACAGCAGTGTCATGAAAGCTGTTTTGCCTCTGCCTGCCTACTATTCTCCCTCTTCTCCACTCTTCCACTGGTCTTTATCATTAGCTGCCTTGCCATTGATTCCATTTGCTATGAAGCTCCCTAGTCACTAAGGCTCTACTAAAAATCATTAGTATCTAGGAGCTAGTGAAGGCTTGGAGAAGCAGCTGCCTGCTGGAAAGGTTACCAGCCTTGCCTGACTGTGGCTTTACCAGGAGAATCTGTAGGGACTAAATATGGGAAAATCAAGGACCATTCCCTCTGTGGCAGGTAATAAGACCAGACCAGAAACATTTGTGATGTGTTCTCTGAAGTCACTCTCCAGATGGTGGGCTCCCAGCTCAGCCTCTGTAAGAGAGCTTTGCTGATATTTGTAACCCATCACTTTCCCCTGGCAGCACATAAGCAGAAAAGAGGGTTCAGGTCCTTGAGAGCTAAGAAACTTCTGCTGAGTCAATAGGGAGGTACCATCACTGCCCTCAGTTTTGTTTGCAGGAACAGCCTCATCAAATAGTGTTTGTGGGCAGAGACCCTAAGTAGACTGCCGAGCTGTTAAATTGCCAACCTACCCACTGGTTTATTCTGCAGCAGAAATACAAGCATGCCTGGACCAACCCCTAGACCTCAGCTCTGAACTCCTCTCTCATTCTGTCAGAACTCCCAGCTTGTTTTGAAAATGGCATTTATTTTTGTTAAATTGCAAAAGAGTTGGATGCAGTCTGCTAGTTGTGTTTTGCCTCTCCTTCTTTGTACAGTGAATTTTGTTCGTTCACTTTACATGCCTCAAGTTGCTGTAATGCTGCTGGGAAAGTAATTGCCTTGCACTTTCTCTTTCTGATGCCCACGGGTGACTGTGGGGGGACTCCTCCCTGGGCACAGTGCAGAGTTAAAAGCCCAGCTTTTGCTGCCTTGCTTAAGACCTGGTTATTTCTTTCTTTCTTTCTTTCTTTTTTTTTTTTTTTTTTTTTTTTTTTTTTTTTTTTTTTTTTTTTTTTTTTTTTTTTTTTTTTTTTTTTTTTTTTTGTCAGCTGCCTGTTATATCAATCACAGAGCTGGGATCTATTTATAGGTTGGGACTCGGAGTACTGTGTCCTAGTCACAAAGAGAGGCAGAGACGCAGAGGGGACTGTCGGCTGGTGCAGGCAGAACCAAAAGATATTTAATCAGCAATTAGAAACACCTGAGGGCAAGGGAAATTCTACTCCAGCCTCGAACCTCATCTCAGCCTGCAGCATGTAAGTAGCGAACTTCTATCTTTTATTGCATTTATGGGCTTGTGTTTTGTTTTGTTTGTTTGTTTTTTTTTTTAATCCAAGCATTGCTCTGCACGATTCCTTTTATCTGGTCTAAAAATTATGGCAGCACCTTGATACATTAAAGGTAATAATTTTTTCAATTTTCACTCTGTCAAAGGAAGGTCAGTGCGACCCACCAAGGAGAGGAGTTGGTTTAGAACTTTGTAGAAATCAGGCAGTTTCTCTATTTGAGTGTGTTTTTTTCCTCTGGAAATAAGTAAATGAAAGTTTGAGTGGAACAGTTTTGTTTTGGGAATAGAAACAGTCAGGTTTGCTGGCATTCCAAAAAGGTCAATGTATAACGTAACTCTGCTTAAGGGCTTACCAAGGACAGGTGCTATTTATCCCATGCTGGTAAAGGCAAACCTGGGAACTTTAGCAGTCCTGTCTTAAAAGAACCAAGTGACAACCTTCCCTCTATTAAAAAACCCAAAACCCCCCCAGCTGCATATCAAATCTTTTCTTATCTGACACATGCAATAAAATTTTGCTTTTACTGAAGGCATTTAGCATTAAGCAGTTGATGTTTATTTAATTTTAAAAGCCCCAAAGCAACTGAAGAATCTTCAATGACAAAAGAGGGGTGCAAGTCTTTGCAAAGTTGGCACAGTGATAATCACAGAAGGAACTTACTTTCTCATCACCAACAAGATGTTTTCTTTAAAGCAGCTAAGATGTAAAATGTTTGAACAATAATGTGGTTTTTGAGTATTTTTATTAATAGAAATTTGAAGATAGGGAGAACAATAATTAGATTTTTTTTTATTAATAGCTTTTAGTAGAAATATGAAGAGATGGAGAAAAATAATTACTCTGAATATTTTTGTTAATAGTTTTTAGTATAATATTCTTTGTCAAAATATAAGAGGTTTTTCTTCTTTCATGTTCTTGCTTCAGAGGTTTGCATTACATCTTTTTACAAAATTTAGGGCTAATATTTATTTCTAAGCAGAGGAAAATAACCTTGCTATGTCTACCCCCCAAAACCTTAATATTACAATTTTTATTTTGGTATGTCAAGTTTTTAGCATAAATTTCTCACTAAATATATATTCTAGAAAACTTTTTACCCCCAAAATGTAACATTTTTGAAGGTAACAGCAAATAAAATGAAGCTAAACTTAAAATAATTAGGAGGAAAAAGTGTCTAATAGAAACCGAATAATAAAACCAGTGCTGCCTTACAGTTAAAACATCAGGTTCTAAGGAATATTTGATAGATACATTTCTTGGATTGACTGTAGAAGGGCGAAAAATAGGCTTCTTCTTTAGCTCTTTATTTTGGATTTCTTCGATGTACATTTTATAGTACTTAGAACATTTAGCTTAAGTGCTAGGAATGAAAAACTACTGACTACATATTAATGCTTTCTAAGTTTTTAACCATCTATATGAATAATCCATCATTCAGCTAGAATTCTGATGTAAGGATGACTTTTAGGAGAATATGGATAAACCAGGTGAATTAATATGCCAAATAATGCCCCCAAAGATCATTACAACACATTGCTTGCTATGAACCTTTTTACTCACAAATAAAATCGTGATCACTGTCATCATATGAAGCTTCATTTTGATTATTAAAGCTTTTTGCTTTACTTAAAAATGAACATATTTAAATTATTTAAGTAATTTTCTGTTTGCTTTGCTATGATATTACATTTATTGCTTCTCTGTAATAATGCAATATTATTTTGTAATAAAAGGAGCAGATTTTTCTGAAAAGCATTAAAGGACTAAAATTGCTAACTCTGTAACTAACAAAGAATCTATCATATAGCTGTTCTGAGGTCCCACTAAGAATTAAAAACCAAGAGACATTGCTGGAAAAAAAAATTGAATTATTTTCTTCCCTACACAAAACCAATATTGGCATGATTGTGCTTAGAAATTACTGCAGACCCCTCACTCATTTACCATACATTTTTTTAGAAATCTGAGAAATCAAAGAAGTTTTCCAAGTACAAAGCTATAAAAGATTAGGTTTTAAGAATTTGTTTGGACTATTCTAAGTTGTGCCCACATAATTGCTGGACATAATCCTTCTCTTTCAACCACATGTGAGCATTTTGCCCTGTTACCTGCCATATCTTGTTATTTCTGCTTTGGAGAAAAAATAACCAAGCACCTACTGTTCTGTGGGATAATGATCGATGCTTTATAGGACTGCTTTTATTTGGAGGGAAGGAGTTGCCTATGGTTAAAGGGAAGACCAATGCATTATGTAGCAGAAAGTGTTTGTTATTTAGTTTCTGCTTCACAAATGATTCACATTTTGTGTACTAAGCATCTATCAACCTCTGAACTGTCTTACTGTATATATGCTATTGCAGGACTTTTTTTTCATTCCTTAAAAAAACCCAACAAACATCTTTTGTTTTATCCTAGTTTATTTGTTTCTTTGACTGCAAAGTGATTGACATGCAGATTCTCTTTTCCACGCCTCTCCTTTCATTGCTGAGTATGACATCTCTTGGGAATTATAAATGAAACCTGTGCCAAATCTGCTGCACAGGTGTCTGGAGTACAGCATGCTCAGGTGCCTCACTGTAAATCCCTGAGAATATGAAATAAACACAAGCAGAATAAAAATACTCTTCCTGAAACAATTCTGTGTTTTGAGGGGCCTTCTGCATAAACCCCCCAAAGCCAGCAGCCAGTTATTAAAGACTGTGTAGCTTTCTCTCTCTCTTACCTTTTTTATCACTTTACCTGTACATCTGTCCATCTATTTCTCATCTATTTTTACATTTCATTATGCTGTGCTTGCTCTCCAGCTCTCTTCTTTTTCTTTCCTGAAGACACATTTCTATCTGGCACAGAAAATAAACTCAGATTGCGGGTAGTTATGTTAATCTAATTCAATCCTCTGTGGGCTAGGAGTGAAATTCTAATAGTGGAGCTGTTGAGGGCTTTTTTGTTAATGGCTTGGGGATTACATTGAGTTAAAGGCTCATTTCCTAATCAAACAGAGAGGGAGAGAGTGACTCCGAATATTTATGAGTCTCCCAGCGAGAGTTAAACATTGAACTCCAAAAGCAGGATTTCACTGCTGCAAGAAAGAGTTAAAACCCCTCAGGGCTGCTGTGGAGAGGGAAAAAAAAAAAGGAAACCAGTTAAGCCATCAGCATTTTCAACTGCTGTATAACTTCAGTTTGAGAGAAAATAATCATCTCACGAGCTAAAATGGAAACTGTAGCAAGATATTTAAAACAAAGTCAAGTGATGCTTCAAAAAGGCCCTTCTTCAGTGAAGCAGGATGCACGCAGTGCATGCAGCCGCCTAACAGAAACTCCAAATAAATACTCCTCTAAATGAGAAGGATTGCAGGGTGGGTTGCCTTTTCATTATTAATGCCTGGAAGACACAATTTAATTTTCTAATGTTTTTTATTTTTGTTTCTACTTAACTCTTAGGTCACCTTTTCTTTAAGAAAGGAAAAAAATTAAAAGGAAGTGTGGATGGGTCAATATCTAAACTGTCCTACTTCTGTTCTGTAGACTTGTACCTTTTGAGGCATTTTTTCTGTCCTTCAGTTTAGCTGGAGTCTTGCATCAAATAGTCTAGTTGAAGAACTGTATTTACTGTGACAGGAATGATTGACCAAATTAATGCCTGATTGCTTTTGTGATGAGTTCATCATACATGCGTGGGCAGCTTGAGCAGACCTTTCTTTTGCTGAAAAAAAGCAGGCCTGCCTGCCTGCAGCAAGCCCAGGACCTCTGTGTTGCTAAGGGCTGGTGTGTTGTGAACTAGCCAGCAGTAAGCTTTTCTGCTCCGAGCTGGGACTTGGAAAATTTGTCTGCAGCAGGTGAACTGCACAAAATCAAGACTGAGCCATGATCCTGCCCCTCTTCTGAAAAGTGGTCCTGGAAAGGAATGGGGATAGAAACTGTTGTTTTCTGATATGTGGCCAAGTCATATCTCTGTGTTCCTCAGTTTCCCTGTTTGTAAAATGATATGTGACTGCCATCAAAATAACCCCAAGATCTACAAAGAACAATCTTCTATAAATCCCAAGTGGCTGATTTGCCCATGAGAAAAACTGTGAATCACTGACATAGGTACATAGTTGAAAATAAGGGGGTTTGTTCTAGTTACAAGAGTAGCCCCTCTTCCCTTTATTTGTTGTTGTTGTTTGGTGGGGTTTGGGTTTGTTTGGTTGTAGTTTTTTTAATACATTTTGTACGAGTCACCAGTAAGGCTTTCTGAATTCGGCATAATGAGCAAATAGAAGGCTAACTTACTTCTTGTGTAACATTCAGTGGTGTTGTCCTACACACTAGGTCCGAGCTCGGTCTTAGTGACCCTTGCTGAGATGAAGCTCCAGGTTTTTTACCCAAAAGTGGTAAACTCTGGCTAAAAAAGGAAGTCACTGTTTCATCTGAAGCCATGTATCAATGGTCATCTTTTATGCACCAAGCAGCATTTTTGCTGACATGTCTATCTGGATGTAGCATCTTGAGGTAAGATTTGGCATCTTGCCCTAGTTTTAAAATTATTTAAAACTGTGACCTGATGTGAATGCCTGAGGCCCCTTTCTCTTTGTGCTCTGTGCCTGGACCTGCTGAGGAGAGCACCATCAGCTAGAGTGTACTTTATTAAATGCATTTGAAATACATATTAATTGTGTTCTTTCTCTCTAATCACTGGAATATACAGCAGATCACTTTGAAACAAAAGCTTTCTGTGGCTAAGCTGAAAACTGTGTAACTTTTTTTCCTTCCTTCTCTTTCTCATCGCAGTTTCCTTTCTTTTTGCCTCAACGTTTTCCTCTCCCGCACTATTCTGCTGTGGCCAGTTTATACTTAGATTTTCCCTGCTGACCTTTCAGGCAAAATACACTTCCTTCTCCTCTTTTTATCCTTTCCAATGTTATGCTGAATCTTATGAATGACTTGCTTCTGTCTACCCTGAAGGTGGCTGCATTTCAGTGAAGC